ATGGTGGACAAAGGAAGCAGAAATTTTAAAGATGTGATTGGAAGAAAGGATATTCAGTATTGCCAATAGCCAGGCAAAAAGTCACTCAAAGAAGGAATACATTAAAACAATGGAAACAGATTTATTCCTTGAATAAATGGATCGCTTTCATGACAAATGCACTACAATACTACTGCCTGTACAGGAGTCTAAATGCTTCAAGCATTCCCAATTAAAACTTTTAAAAAGGCACTCAAAGTGATTATTCCATAAAAATCCTTATCAGAATTGAGGAACAGACCGGGTGTGGTCGCTCACGCTTGTAATCCCAGCACTTTGGGTGACTCAGGTGGGAGGATCACTCGAAGTCAAGAGTTCAAGATCAGCCTGGCCAATATAGTGAAACCTGTCTCTACTAAAAATACAAAAAGTAGCCCTGCATGGTGGCGTGCACTTGTAATTTCAGCTCCTCGAGAGGCTGAGGCAAGAGAATCACTTGAACTCTGGAGGTGGAAGTTGCAGTGAGCCAAGATTGTGCCGCTGCACTCTAGCCTGAGCAACAGAGCCAGACCCTGTCTGAAAAGACAAAAATAATTGAGGAACAATATGTTGTGGTGCCTGATGCATGCTAGTGGCACGATGGTGACTGGTCAGTCAAATATTGGGACTCAGTTGATGCAAGAAGACCACGGGGTGTGGATTATAATGCAAAAATCACAGTGGCATCACGCTGTTTGCTTCTTCATTGCACTTAAGGGCCCAAAGCTTCATGTTACATGGTGCGATGGTCTACAAGGCCCTCCTTATTTCCCTGACTTCATCTCCATCTTCTATTCTCCTCACTTTGTCACCTCCAGTCACACTGGATTCCTTGGTGCTCCTCAAAGACACTAGTTATGCCCCGCCTTAGGGTCTCACGTGTCTCTTCACATTGTCTAAATCCCTCTTCACCAAGATGTCCGTATAGCTTACTTCTTCATCTCCCTCTTCACATTTTTGGTTAAATGTTATCTTGTCACTAAGTTCAACCCTTATCACCATGCTTATCTGCCTTCTTCTGCCCATGACCTTCCTTTTATCTGCTCTACATTTTTCTATTCTCCATTGTACTTTTCACCTCTAACTCAGTAGCTAATTCCTATCTTTATTTTATATCAACATTTTCCCTGATAGAATGTAAGCTACATGAGGGCAGGGATCTTTGTTGAAATCATGGATGTGTCCAACCACCTACAGCAGGGCTTAACCCAAAAAACATGGCTGGAGAAAGAGGATAATTTTGTGGGGAGGTTTGAGCTTTGGGGGGGAAAAAAACTGGTGAGAAATTATGAAATACGAGAACATTACACAAGAAAGAGGGAAATGGGGTTTGAAGAAATCTCCCTGGAGTCTGTGTGTCCTTTTTGCAGTGTTTGAGAAATACAAATAAAAAACTTGAGTTGTTTTAATGTGACATAGTCTAGGGTGTTTAAAAAATATTTTAATATTAACTTTTCTTCTATAGGGAATCCAAAATAAAAAAGAGTATGCAATGAAAAGTCAATTTCTTCTCCTCCCTTTGAGTCTTCTGGATACCCAGGTTCCCTCCCTAGAGGTGATCACCTGTGCCAGTTTCTTGTGTGTCCTCCTTCCCATGTTGGCATCCCATATACAATGTTCTGTGCATTGCCTTTTCACTTAGTTTCCATATGAGTATTTATAGCTTGTGTATTGACACCTGTATGTGTAGAGCTGTCTTGTCCTTTTTAATTTAATGGCTAAAAAATCCATCATATACATGTGTTTGTAATATTTAACCAGTTTCCTACTGATGGGTATTTGGACTATTTTCTTTCTTTTGCTATTATAAGCAATGGTGCAATGAATCTATCTATCTATCTATCTATCTATCTATCTATCTATCTATCTATCTATCTACAAATGGCTTATGATGTGAGCAGCAAATAATTTCCCCCAGTTTGTCCTTTGTCTTTCCTCATGTATTTTAAAATATTTTTACCATGAAACTATTTTTTGAGGTTCAATTTATTGTGTTTAGAAGGCCTTCACCACTTGAAGGTCCTGAAAAGAATCTTTGTGCTTTTCTTTCAATTTTTGTTTCATTTTTTTCACATTTAAAAATTTGTTCCATCAGAATTTTTCTGATAAAAAGTGTGAGGTAGGGATACAACTTTATATTTTTAACTCCTTGTATTGAATAATCCACTCTTTACCCACTCCCCCACTGCCTTGCAGTGAACTTGGTTATTTTGACTGGGAATAAACCATGTGGGTCACAATTTCATAAACATAATAATTTTTAACAGCTTTATAAAGATATAATTTGCACACCATAAAATTTACCAAAGTGTACAACTCAATGTACATCACAATCCAATTAAAGACTATTTTAAAACTCCAAAAAGAAACCTGTACCCCTTAGCTGTCACTCCACATACAACATGCTTTAAAACATTTAATTGAATTCATGAGTAGCTGGGACTACAGGTGTGTGCCACCACACCTGGCTAACTTTTGTATTTTTTGAAGAGATGAGGTTTCGCCAAGTTACCCAGGCTGGTCTTGAACTCCTAAACTCAAGCGATCTGCCCACCTCAGTCTCCCAAAGTGCTGGGGTTTCAAGAGTGAGCTGCCGTGCCCAGCCTGGAAATACTGTTAATCTTGAACACGTCTGTCCTGGATGCTAATTATAAATAATCCTCAGTCCTATTTTTCTGTAGGGATTACAAAGCAACAGGTTTTTGTTTTTAAAACACATTTAAAAAATTTAATTTGTGTTACTTTAGATTAGTGAGCCTCCATGTTAATGTGTTTATATTTGAGGCAGAAATGTTGTATATAGTATTTTGTGAATTTATTTAAGCATGGAACCCTTTGTTTTTGCTAAACTAGCCACGGAAAATACTTGGAGAAATACTGATTGACTCAGTACAAAGACTGAACTCCTGGAAAACATGTTCATAGACTGAGATCCCTTTGTAAATAGCATATTATTATTTCCCCAGTGTAAGTAGACTCCAATTATATTTTTTTCTTGTAAAAATAAAATATGTTGGTGGTGGGAATGTAAAATGGTGCAGCGCCTGTGGAAAACAATATAGTGACTCCTCAAAAAAATTAAAGAGAATTACCATATGATATAGCAATTCCACTTTGGGGCATATATCCAAAAGAAGTAAAATCAGGGACTCAAATATTTGCACATGTTCATAGTAGCAGGGACTCAAACCGATATTTGCACAGCCATGTCTGCAGCGTTATTCACAATAGCCAAAAGGTGGAAGCAACCCAAGTGTCCATGGAAAGGTGAATGAGTAAACAAAACCTGGTCTACACATACAATGGAATCTTCTTCAGCCTTAAAAAGAAAGGAGATACCGACACATGCTACAACACGGAGGAACCCTGAAGACATTATATTATGTGAAATAAGTCAGTCACAAAAGGTCAAATATTGTGTGATTCCTCTTACACAAAGTTCCTAGAGTAGTCACATTCATTGAGACAGAAAGTAGAATACTCGTTGTTGGAAGAAGAAGGGGAGAGGGGAATGGGAATTTATAGTTTCTTAGGTACAGAGTTTCAGTTTGGGAAGATGAAGAAGTCCTGGAGAGATAGTGATGATATTGCACAACAATATGAATGTATTTAATGCTGCAGAACCATATACATAAGAATGGTTGAAGTGGTAAATTTTATGGTATGTGTATTTTACCATAATAAAAAAAACTGAATAAAAAAATGAATTGGAATGCAGGGACAGACCAGTATTCTTATTTCTGTGCCAGGTGTTTTAAGGACATCCTTCACTTTATCCTCACACCACTTGTTATGAAGTAAGTGCTGTTATCTTCACTTTACAAGTAAGAACATTGATACTTGGTGGGCTCAAGTCCACACAGGCATGAAATTGTGCAGCCAGAATTTGAACTGAGTTCTTTTGTCTTCAAACACTTGAGTTTGTCCCTACATGATGTGAGGGAAACTATAACGTATTACTTCATGACAACGGGCTGGACTTGATAATTAATTCAAGTTGAAATGTGCTTTGCCTGGAAATCATTAAGAAGAGAATAGGTAACCAGGGAAAGCCAAAATGAGACATTTCCTTGGCCTGCAGAGGTGGAGATTTCACAGCAGCAGGCTCTGTGCTTCTCTTGTTGCACCGGGAGTGGCACTGTGATTGGGACAGGATGGAGACCTGAGCTGCTCATGCCTCAGTTCCTTTTATGTTGTTGTTCCCCAGCTCCTTGCCTTTGGGGGCTCCAATTTTCCTCTGCAGAACTGCTTTTCCTGTTTGCCATGAATTAACCTCCTTCTCCTCCTGGCACTACTCAAGTCCCTGCAAGGCCACACAATTGCACTGTGTTATGGCTATCTATTGACTTGCTTGTTTCCTCACTAAAATGTGAACTCTAGGACAGAGACTAGTCTATAGTAGAGACTCAATGAAGAAAAAATATTCATCAATATTTATTATTGTCAATAGTTCATTATTGATAAAGTTTTGGCTGCTTTATGGCACAATGATTTAAAAAACCCTGACATTTGCAAAACATTTTATATCCTAGAGAGCAATGCTAAGCCCATATCATCCTCCCCAAAACCATCTTGTGGTAGGTTAGATGGGGAACCAAGGTCCAGAGAAGTCCCACAACTTGTCTATGGTTAGAAAGCTAGTGTCAGTCCAGAGATTTGAAGCTAGGTCTTTAGTTTTATGGAATCTTCCTACAGAATCATCTGTTTAACAAGTTAAAAAGCTCCCATCACGAGAATAGGCCATTCCATCTACATTTGCCAAAATTCTAAAAAAAAGAGTAAACACCATACCTTGCTCTTAGATGGTGGGCTGCTGCAGGATTCTAAATCCACAAGAGACTGAGGATCTTTCATGAGAGCTCAGTGAAAAACTTGCTTTGGTACCAGACAGAATAACAGATCCAAGTTCTCAAAGATTTCCAAATAGTTGTGCTAAAAATAATTTTCTCGTTTAGTCCCAAAGAGCCAAAGGCCCTGGAAGTCATTCATCGAGTGAGGCTCAACTCGGGGACCAGTTAAAATTACAGTTTTGTTTGGGATAAACTTTAAGTGCCTGCTTTACTTCAGTGGTAAGTTTAGAGCTTCTCCATCTCTGTGTGTTGTGGCCTCTTTTTCAGATTTGTTTACTTAATTTTTTCCCTCTTCGTTTGTTTTCCACTGAGTGAATGTTTCAGGAAAAAAATTACTCACTGACTGGAAATTAGTTGTTAACTTAGAGAAAAAAGCCATTTTGTATTTGAGAGTTTTGGAGGTAGAGCCTTTAGATTCTGGACCTAGGATGGTGTCTTGTGGAATAATGAGCACTGTCCCTATTCTTGGTAAATATGGCAGGAAAACAGCCCCTCATTCTATGTGCTGTGAAAAGAAAGAGGGTTATGAGAATTGTACTGATTTTGTTTTCTTTGTTCTTTGCTGAATGGATAAATGATTGGGTATTTTTAGAAAACTAATATGTCTTTGTGCCTCTAAAGAACTGATCATAACATCTCAAAAGGCAGAATGATTCTCCAAAGCATATGACTAGTCGTCTATGGTGCAATCAATTTCTTTGTTTCCCTCTGCTGTGTATTTCTTATATTTCCTTGGCAACAGCGATATATAATTTATGATGTCATTTATGGAAATTAGACAGCTGAAAAAAATCTTGTTTTTATCATTATTTTCCTCTCATTCTTCTCAAGCAATGAGAACTCTTATTGAAAGGAATGTTTCCAGAGTTAGTGAAGTGGACGTTGACCACACACTTGACCAAGGAGACTGCTGGGCTCCCCATTCTGATCAACTTAATTTTGCCTTTGGGATCCACTCTCCACACTGGAGGAAATGGTCCTTTGAATTTGTTGGCTGTCCAAAATCTTAATGCCATCATAGTATGGTCAAAACAATATCTTGAGCGTAGAAGCTAGTCATAGCTTACTACTGAATTAGAGTCAAATTTTAATCAGATGAAGTCTCTGGGTCTGTTTTCTCATTTTCAAAATAAAATGGTTGTCCTTGATCATTTCCAGGGTTTATCATAGTTCTTAATATTCTCGAACCAAATGATGATGTCCGATGTCACCCATTTACAAGCTTAATTTCAGATGATACAGCCTTTTAATATGTTCATTTATTTGTTTGTAAGCGATAACTTATTAAGTGGGCTTTTTCCATTATCTCTTCTTTGGAGTAGCCCAATCTCTGCCAGGGGGCTCGGAAGTGGGTGAATTTGTAGACCAATAAAAGAATAGATGCATTCTTATTTTTCTGCCTTAAAGTGTTCATACAATTTGTGGATATTCATATTTTCTTTTCTGTGTCATTCGTAACTTCTCTAACTTCTCTTCAATGTTGCTTACCACACAAAACAAGGTTTTCTTTTTCTTTTTTCTATTATTATACTTTAAGTTCTAGGGTACATGTGCACAATGTGCAGCTTTGTTACATATGTATACATGTGCCATGTTGGTGTGCTGCACCCATTAACTCATCATTTATATTAGGTATATCTCCTAATGCTATCCCTTCCCCCTCCTCCCACCCTACAACAGGCCCTGGTGTGTGATGTTCCCTTCCTGTGTCCAAGTGTTCTCATTGTTCAATTCCCACCTATGAGTGAGAACATGCGGTGTTTGGTTTTTTGTCCTTGCGATAGTTTGCTGAGAATGGTGGTTTCCAGCTTCATCCATGTCCCTACAAAGGACATGAACTCATCCTTTTTTATGGCTGCATAGTATTCCATGGTGTATATGTGCCACATTTTCTTAATCCAGTCTATCATTGATGGACATTTGGGTTGGTTCCAAGTCTTTGCTATTGTAAATAGTGCTGCAGTAAACATATGTGTGCATGTGTCTTTATAGCAGCATGATTTATAATCCTTTGGGTATATACCCAGTAATGGGATGGCTGGGTCAAATGGTATTTCTAGTTCTAGATCCTTGAGGAATCACCACACTATTTTCCACAATGGTTGAACTAGTTTACAGTCCCACCAACAGTGTAAAAGTGTTCCTATTTCTCCACATCCTCTCCAGCACCTGTTGTTTCCTGACTTTTTAATGATTGCCATTCTAACTGGTGTGAGATAGTATCTCATTGTGTTTTGATTTGCATTTCTCTGATGGCCAGTGATGATGAGCATTTTTTCATGTGTCTGTTGGCTGCATAAACGTCTTCTTTTGAGAAGTGTCTGTTCATATCCTTTGTCCACTTTTAGATGGGGTTGTTTGTTTTTTTCTTGTAAATTTGTTAGAGTTCTTTGTAGATTCTGCATATTAGCCCTTTATCAGATGAGTAGATTGCAAAAATTTTCTCCCTTTCTGTAGGTTGCCTGTTCACTCTGATGGTAGTTTCTTTTGCTGTGCAGAAGCTCTTTAGTTTAATTAGATCCCATTTGTCAATTTTGGATTTTGTTGCCATTGCTTTTGGTGTTTTAGACATGAAGTCCTTGCCCATGCCTATGTCCTGGATGGTACTGCCTAGGTTTTCTTCTAGGATTTTTATGGTTTTAGGTCTAACATTTAAGTCTTTAATCCATCTTGAATTAATTTTTGTATAAGGTGTAAGGAAGGGATCAAGTTTCAGCTTTCTACCTATGGCTAGCCGGTTTTCCCAGCACCAACAAAATAAGGTTTTTTGTATCATTAAAGTATTACAGTATTTTCTCTGTTCTTCAACACAAGTTGGATTTTTTCTTTTTCTTTTTTATTATTTTTCATCTCAGATAATTTATTGTAATCTATGTCTTTCTGAACTCATTCTTTTTCCCAGAGAGAATGAACCTTTGAAAATGTCTCTGAGAGTTTTCAGAACCTCGGATGTTGATAAAGCATGTCAGTGTCTATTTCACTCAGTTATTTTCACACTTATTTTAGAAGCAGTGGTGAAGTGATGGGTAGAAAAATATGCTGAAGGAAGTATTGACTCAGAATAAAAGTCAGATTCCATTTTTACCTGCCACTCACCCCAGTGATGGGGTCTTATTTTATCTTTCCTAGGCAGATAATCTTCCTTTCTCAACTTGTGTGCCTTTTTATCCCTATATCATTATTTACTTTTCAACTGAATTCGGTCCATTCCATTCCAATCCCATCAATGTTCCCAGAGCAACTAACAGTTTGCCACTAACCTAGCTCTCAAAAAGAAGGTTCAGATTTGTAGCTTTTGTTAATTTTATTTGAGTGAATACCCCCGACATGGTCAATTTCAAGCTAACAATCTGACCTTCACTGAATGCAGAGTTGGGAAGTTATAGAATGTAGAATTGTAGAATTGGCCCTTGCTGGCAGGTGTAAACTAGCTCTGCACACCACTACACATATACATACACACACACTCACACACCATTTTTCTAGGTAGTAGAATTATTTTAAAAAGACGTTTCTAGCTGATATGTAATGAACATGTACAATGTGCTAAGACATGACAAGCATCACTTTCTTTAATCCTCATCATAACCTCTTGAGGTGATGATAATTGCATTATCCTCCTTCTACAGCTGAGTAATTTAGACAGTCTGATCCACAATTGACACACCTAACCACTTAACATATTTACTTCCTAGGTTGTTGCTAACTTTAAAAGACCACATTTTTGGCATCCAAAGAACTTGCAGTTGCATACCCCTTGTTTCTTCCTTCTCCTCTCTATGGGTGCCCTCAGTTCTGTTAGGAATCGAATCTTCTCTTTCTAACCTCAGTGCCTTGCTTATATCATCTGCAGTAGCTGCAAGCCATTACCAACCATGTCGTCCCTATGCCTCTTTCTCCATCTGTTCACATTTATCTTCTGTATGCATCACTTTCTACAGAAAGTCTCCCTGATATTCTCAACCAGGTACAACCCTGTCTTCTCCTGAACCCTTCTAGCACATAATTTGGATCTCTCATGCACTTTAGCTCACTGGTTCTTAACTAGATCTACTGAATGAGCACATCAGCAGATTAAGTTAGGAATTGATATTTTTTAAAAGCTCTGTGGATGGTTCCGATGGGCAGCCAGGCTCTAGGAATCTTTGCCTTCTCTACTGTTGGTCAAATGATGCCTTATCTGCTTGTCCTTACAAACCAGGGAGTTGTAGTGATACAAATATGGTCTTCTTTGTGTCTCATCCTGTTCTTTTATTTATTACTTCATCACATATTTATTTAGCTGCTACTATATGTCAGATGCTGAACGCTTGGTCTTAGTGTTCAGTAAGGAGCAAACAAAGAGTCCTTGTAGAGACAAAATCTAGTGGGGAAGAGAGGTATTTATGAAATAATCACAGAACTATGCTTAACAGGATATGAATTGGGAATTCCCATCCACTTGGAATTTCAGCTGAAAACACAAAGCAGAGAATGATAGGCAACCAGTGCTCATACATGGACTTAGAACTTGTTAAAATCCAGCTGGATCTGGCAGTCACCATCAGCCATTTTCAGTCCACATAAGAGAAAACTAGAAACTCAGAAAGGATTAGTGTTTGAAGAGAGGCATCAAGATAGAGTTGTGGAGAAGGGAAAGCAGTGCAGGGGCAGCTGTCAGAGAGGCAAGAATATATGCCCTCCCTAAGAGAGAGATGGTACTGAGGAAGGCAGCTGAGTTGGGCCATCTTGATGGGACTTCCTGGGCCAACGAGTCCTCCTAGTTGGGGGAGGCCACTGAGAAGTCACTGGGTGTATCACTGCGTACAGAAGCTGAGGCTGGCGTGGAAGCACTGCAAGCTATCAACCAAGGAACACCTTCACCCCGAAACAGCCAGCATTTGGCTACCTGGAGTGCACAGCAGCAGACATTGGAGCCAGTAGAGGATCATACAAATAGCACTTATTAACTAAAAATAATTCAGTCGCTTTTTTCCTGATTCTTCTACTCTCTGACCTGACTCAAGAGGAGCTGAAAGTGAAAGGAGGTGGCAGGAGATGGGGGAAGAGTGAAAGGGTATAGCATATCCTGAACTACAGTCATGGAGATGGACAAGTATTGTATTGGATATATAATAGAAAATTTGATTTAGATTTGTCTTTTTAATATCTGAAAATGAGTCACAATTGACTAATAAAATTGTTCATGTAACTGGAAGTTACCAGAAAGCCAAGAAATT